ACTGATGCCAGAAACTGGCATGTTGCAGGCTGGCCTGCCTCATCAGCGATGTGCCAAGGTGCTGGTCCTGCGGGGGCGCCACTTTACCCGGCTCCTATGCATAGCCGCCTCCTTCGTGGAGGCTGTGCTTGCAACCACTGGCGCCTCAGAGGCATTTTTTTGAAGTTTCCGTTTCATGAGATGGTTGTTTATGGCCTCGCCCAAAGCCAGTTCCGTTTTTCTGGTAACCCGGACCTGTCATATCACAACGTGTAGGACTAAACTGGCACCAAAGCCTGTAGTACCCACTTGATACTCGCGATACCAGGTCTGGCGCCATCTTAAGCCCAAAATTGGCCATTCTTGCCGATACCCCCTCAACAAGATAGTCATCTTAAGCCCAAAATTGGCCATTCCTGTCCTGTCGATCCCCCCTCAGCAAGATAGCCATCTTAAGCCCAAAATTGGCTATTCCTGCCGATCCCTCCTCAACAAGATAGCCATCTTAAGCCCAAAATTGGCCATTCCTGCCGATCCCTCCTCAGCAAGATAGCCATCTTAAGCTCAAAATTGGTCATTCCTACCGATCCCCCCTCATTAAGATAGCCATCTTAAGCCCAAAATTGGTCATTCCTACCGATTCCCCCTCAACGAGATAGCCATCTTAAGTCCAAAATTGACCATTCCTACCGATCCCCCCTCAATAAAATAGTCATCTTAAATCCAAAATTTACCATCCCTGCCGATCCCCCCTCAATAAGATAGTCATCTCAAGCCCAAAATTGGTCATTCCTGCCGATCCCACCTCAACAAGATAGCCATCTTAAGCCCAAAATTGGCCATTCCTGCCTATCCCCTCAACAAGATAGCCATCTTAAGTCCAAAATTGGCCATTCCTGCCGATCCCGCTTCCAAAAGATAGCTATCTTAAGCCCAAAACCGGCCATTCCTGCCGATCTCCCCTCAATAAGATAGCCATCTTAAGTCCAAATTCGGCCATTCCTGCCGATCCCTCCTCAATAAGATAGCCATCTTAAGCCAAAAATTGGTCATTCCTATCGATCCCTCTTCATTAAGATAGTCATCTTAAGCCCAAAAATAATTATTCCTGTCGATCCCCCCTCTTCAAGATAGCTATCTTAAACCCAAAATTGGCCATTCCTACCGATCCCCCCTCTTCAAGATAGCCATCTTAAGCCCAAAATTGGTCATTTCTGCCGATCCCCCCTCACTAAGATAGTGATCTTAAGCCCAAAATTGGCCATTCCTGCCGATCCCCCCTCAGCAAGACAGCCGTCTTAAGCCCAAAATTGACCGTTCCTGCCGATCCCCCCTCAACAAGATAGCCATCATAAGCTCAAAATTGACCATTCCTTCCGATCCCTCCTCAATAAGATAGCCATCTTAAGCCCAAACTTGGTCATTCCTACCCATCCCTCCTGAGCAAGATGTTCATCTTAAGCCCAAAAATGATCATTCCTACCGATCCCCCCTCAAAAAGATAATCATCTTAAGCCCAAAATTGGCCATTCCTCCCGATCCCCCCTCAATAAGATAGCCATCTTAAGCCCAAAAATGACCATTCCTGCCGATCCCACCTCAATAAGATAGACATCTTAAGTTCAAAATTGGCCATTCCTGCCGATCCCCCCTTAATAAGATAGCCATCTTAAGTCCAAAATTGGCCATCCCTGTCGGTCCTCCCTTATTAAGATAGTCATCTTAAGCCCAAAATTGGCTATTCTTGCCGATCACTCCTTAATTAATAAGATAGCCATCTTAAATCCAAAACTGATTATTCCTGCCGATCCTCCCTCAACAAGATGGCCATCTTAAGCTCAAAATTGGCCATCCCTGCCGATTCCCCCTCAACGAGATAGCTATCTTAAGCCCAAAACATGACCATTCCTACCGATCCCTCCTCAATAAGATAGCCATCTTAGGCCCAAAATAGATAGCCACCTTAGGCCCAAAATTGGGTATTCCTACCGATCCCTCCTCAATAAAGTAGTCATCTTAAGCCCAATATTGGCCATTCCTACCGATCCCCCCTCTTCAAGATAGCCATCTTAAGTCCAAAATTGATTATTCCTGCCGATCCCTCCTCAATAAGATAGCCATCTTAAGCCCAAAATTGGTCATTCCTAGCGATCCCTCCTCAATAAGATAGTCATCTTAAGCCCAAAATTGGCCATTCCTAGCGATCCCCCCTTAACAAGATAGCCATCTTAAATTCAAATTTGATCATTCCTGCCGATCCCTCCTCAACAAGATAGTCATCTTAAGTCCAAATTGGACATTCTTTCCGATCCCCCCCCAATAAGATAGCCATCTTAAGTCCAAAATTGAGCATTCCTACCGATCCCCCCCTTCAAGATAGCCACCTTAAGTCCAAAATTGACCATTCCTAGCGATCCTTCCTCATCAAGATGGTCATCTTAAATCCAATATTGGCCATTCCTGCCGATCCCCCCTCAGCAAGATAGCTATCTTAGACCCCAAAATTTGCCATTCCTTCCGATCCCTCCTCAATAAGATAGCCATCTTAAGCCCAAACTTGGTCATTCCTACCCATCCCTCCTCAGCAAGATGTTCATCTTAAGCCCAAAAATGATCATTCCTACCGATCCCCCCTCAAAAAGATAATCATCTTAAGCCCAAAATTGGCCATTCCTCCCGATCCCCCCTCATTAAGATAGCCATCTTAAGTCCAAAATTGGCCATTCCTGCCGATCCCGCTTCAAAAAGATAGCTATCTTAAGCCCAAAATCGATCATTCCTGCCGATGCCTCCTCAATAAAATAGCCATCTTAAGCCCAAAATTGGCCATTCCTATCGGTCCCTCCTTATCAAGATAGTTATCTTAAGCCCACAATTGGCAATTCCTATCGATCCCGCCAAAATAAGATAGCCATCTTAAGCCCAAATTTCGCCATTCCTACCGATCCCTCCTTATTAAGATAATCATCTTAAGCTCAAAATTGACTATTCCTACCGATCCTCCCTCAATAAGATAGCCATCTTAAGCTCAAAATTTCTCATCCCTGTCGATCCATCTTAAATTCAAAATTGACCATTCCTACCGATCCCCCCCTCAATAAGATAATTATCTTAAGTCCAAAATTGACCATTCCTACCGAGCTCTCCTCAATAAGATAGCCATCTCAAGCTCAAAAATTACCATTCCTGCCGATCCCCCCTCATCAAGATAGCCATCTTAAATCTAAAATTGACCATTCCTGCCGATCCCCCCTCAGCAAGATAGCAATCTTAAACCCAAAATTGGCCATTCCTACCGATCCCCCATTATATATAGTATATCATATATATAATATATAAAATATATATAATATATAATATAATATATATATATATATATAATATATATAATATATATATATATATATATAACATAATATATATAATATATATAATATATATAATATATATATTATATATAATATGTATAATATATAATATATAGTATATAATATATAATATATAGTATATAATGTATAATATATAATATATAATGTATAATATATAATTTATAAAATATAACATATAATATGTAATGTATAATATATAATATATAATATATAATATATAAGTATATAATTTATAATATATAATGTATAATATATAATATATAATATCTAATCTATAGTATAACTATCTTATTAAGGTATAATGATACAATAGTAAAATATGAATATTATAATATATAATAATATAAGTTATATAATAAATAATATATAATAAAAATAATAATAATAATATTATTAATATAAAATAATAATATATAATTTATTTTTATAATATATAATATATAAATTCGATAATATATAATATATAATATATAATATATATTATATAATATATAATACATAATACATAATACATAATACATAATGCATAATATAAAATATATAATATATAATATATCATATATAATATATAATATATAATATATAATATATAATATATAATATATAATATATAATATATAATATATAATATATAATATATAATATATAATATATAATATATAACATATAATATATATTATATATTGTATATAATATAATATATAATATATATTATATAATATTTACTATATTATATATTATATATTATATATTATATATTATATATTATATATTATATATTATAAACATTTTATATTTTTAATATATAATATATATTTTATAATATATGATATATAATATATAATATAAAATTTAAAATATATAATATATAATATATCATATATAATTTATATATATATATACGAATATAAATGCAGATTTGGGGTTTAAGTGTTAAGGATTCCGAGTTTGCATAAACCAGTGTCTCAGGATCTGCTTGTTTTAACGGCTTTCGTAGTCGTGTCGGCCATCGGCCCAAAGCCTTGTGCCCAAGATTCCATGTAGCTACACCTGAACCTTATATACCCAGGGACTCCAATATCAGTTGATCAAGGATTCTACTTTAAATCATAGTAGGGATCCTGTTATATTCTAAGATATACTTTCCACCTTTTCCAGTCTGAAGCTCTCAACCCAGACACCGTAATCCGTAGACGAAACCCTAAACCCTTAAACCCTAAAGCCTTAGACCCCAACCCCAGGCTGAAGGTATGCAGCAATAAGCCCTCAACCCCGAGCCCCAAACCACCCCAAACCAAGCTCAAAACCCGTGTAAACCTCAAACATCCCCAAACCCTAAACCCCGATGCCTATGCAGAAGAGAGACATGAGTCACAATTGGCAACAACGTCAGGGTCGCAAGAGGGTCAACATGGAGTCAAGGGCTAGAAGGAACAGAGGGCGGTGTTCCAGGGCTTTGGAGACCTGGACCCCATCGAGAGCTCGACGGAGAACCAAAAGCAAGCAGTGTACTGAGGGCGAGGCTATGGACTTAGTCTACGTAGAGGGAGTCCAAGCCTGGCCAACATGGGCTTCGGACGAAACAGGCCCCTAAAACAAAATTGAAAACCCTAAACCCCATACCTTCGGGAGGTTTGGCGACGAGTCCGCGGCCTTGGGGCCCGTCGCCGCTGCCTCAAAGAAGAGCCGAAGGCACTGGGGACCGGGCTCTTAGGTCACAGCCTAAACCCTAAACCGTAGGCCCCAGACCTGCATTGCCATGCGGAGCAAGTGCCAGTGCAGTGTTAAAGCACCCTAAACCGATGGTTCATTTCGGTGTTTCGTTGGGTTGTGCAGAGTCAGTAACTTTGCAGGCTCAAGCCGGACAAGCAGGCGCAGACCTTCATGGAGAGCAACCACCTCAAGGCCACATTGCATGAGCATGCCAGAATCCTGAATGATTATGCTATATGGTATTATAGGATGTATAGTACATATTGCAGGTTAGAGATCGGAGTAAGTCTATAATCGTCAGTTCACTTGTACCGGTGCTGTGACCACCCTTGCGCATAGCTGGGTACAGCAGCTATCTGGCTGTTCATCATGTACTACTGAGACCCAGCAACCCCCATAATTACTCCTAAACTTCGAAGCCCAACCCGAAACCTTAGAACGCCTTTCGCTTCAAAGCCCGATTAAGTATTCAAGCCCCAACTGGACAGATTTTACCCTGAAGCCCTACAGCACGTCCACCGGGTTTTCTTGGTTTTCTTGGAGTGTCATAACTCCACCCCCCCTCCATCCCCCTTCTCAAAAAAATAAGCAGGCACGAAAGGAACCACCGACAGGTTGCTAGTTTTCTGCACCCTTTATGAGTTTATGAACCCCTGATTAAGGCCCATAGCACAAGCAAAAATTCCTGTGGACACTTTCATAACCACTTGAAAACCCTGATAGAGTCCCCTACTAAAGAATTTCAATATACCCCAAACGACTCTGATAAGACCCAAAACCCTAAGCCCCAAACCCCATGAAACTCTGATGAGCTTCCATATTAACCAACTCGACCTAAAACCTTTCAGCTCTGATAAGCTTCCGTACAATTGCCCATTACCCTTAGCCCTTTCAACTCTGATACCCTAAACCCTAAACCCCTTTCAGCTCTGATACCCCAAACCCTAAATGCTAAACCCCTTTCAGCTCTGATACCCTAAACCCAAAAACCCTAAACCATCGAGTTCAGGACTTCACCGGTCCAGAAGGCCTCACGCGCCACTTCGGCTGCAGCCTGGCAGTGACGAACTGCCCGGTGCCGGACTGGGCAGCGCTCTCAGCGTTTGGGATTCCGTCGAAGGGGTTCCTGTACAGATCACTACATAGTTTAGGGTAGACGGTTTAGGGTTTAGGGTAGAGGGTGTATGTGGTACTGGAATTCGGGCATCTTTGTGCTCGGAGAGCCGACTGACTTGGAGAATTGAAACGGTGCAAATACTGAACAAAGCGGGTCGTACGGGTATGCGGGCACCCTGGCCGTAGACAGTCATGTGCATGTGGCTGTTACGTCGACACGACTGGCACTGAGAGCAGCTTGGAGCAAAGCCTGTGCGACTAATACCAGCAATTACAATAGCAGTACATAGCTATAGATACCAATGTATTATCATCGTTACACACACATACGTGTATGTATATATATATACACACACACACGCATATACACATATAAACACATGAGTGCGACTACTGTTATTGTAACATTTTCATTAAGTGTTGTTCTCATGATCAGCTGCAATTGTGGTTCAGTGTCATCCTGAAGTAAGTGAGAATGACCATGGTATACCATAGTATACCATGATGCTATTGAAACTCGAGCTCGGTATGCTGGAGTTTGCTTTGCTTGCTACCCTTGCTCTACTACCCTCACATTAGCCCTGTTGCCTCTATAGTACCCTGATAGGCTCGATTCCAACCTGTCCGCAAGACCCACCAGCGCAAGACAGGAGGGAATCTTAACCCCTCGTCCACACAGTCCACCACCTGCAAAGCTCTAACATGAACACTCAAACCCTAAACCCCTAAACCTAAACCCTAAAACCCTAAACCCTAAACCCCTAAACTCTGAAGCCTATGCCAGCAGACTCGAACGCCCGGGATCGGAGCGATAAATCCTGGAAGCGCCCTCTTTTCACACCGGCGTCTGTGAAGGTATACCGAGGCTGGGCTGTACCACCTTGCTGCAAGGAGCGCTTTTGCCTTTACAGTTGGGGTTCATTCACACGGGAGTTATTGTATATGGGTGGTTGTCAAAATTATGGTCCCTTTTTGGGTCGCTCATATAGTACGGCACCTAATATTTAGGGTACCCAAAAAGGGGACCTAATTTTGTCAACCAAATATGTATGAGTATATATATATATATATGTGTGTGTGTATATATATATATATATATATATATATATGTGTGCGTTTGTTTGTTTGTTTGTTTGTTTGTTTGTGTGTGTGTGTGTGTGTTATTAGGCGAGCATGACTGTTGCTGCATTGCCAGCTTCATCTCCAATGCTGAGTTGATACTTCTTGCAGGCTGGATGTGCAGAGCCACAGTGCTATCGACGAATGAATGTTTGCTGACCCATACCTTAGGGTTCCGTATAGAACAAAGACGCTCCCCAAAACTCTATTCTAATTATTCAAGTATTACGTACCCTATGTTACTATGTAAGGCTGCTTCCGCAGTTCTTCACGTCCTTTCGGGCTTTGCAGGAGACGATGCGCCACCTCCTCTTCTACATCGATCGGGTGTTCAAGGAGCTGGGGGTCCGTTCTCGTCTCAGACTTCACCTATTACACCTGATTATAGCATCCATGAAGTACCTTTGTACTATAATCTGCTGGTAAGTTCCGTATGGTAGTATCGTACACCTAGAGGACTCTTGTAGTAGAAGCATCATTAGTACCTTCATAACACCTCGCCCCGTCTTCCCGCGTCTCCGAAGCCTCGGGCCCAACCAGGCTACATTGTCACTGATGGAGTTCTGCTGGGCTCGTACAAGTTCGGCGGCATGCTGGACTGGGACGCAGACGTGGCCTGCAGCCCAGCCAGCTCCAGTCTAAAGCCGAGAGAGTTTTCACCCCGAATCCTCGTAATACAGGCGCCTGCATGACTGACTTAACTGACAATCTTAGTCCCCCCTAGGCTTCCTTCGTATAAGTACGGTCTGGTACACCCCAAAACACCATTTTCCTCATTATTCAGGCACCTAAATTTCTTCTCTCTTTTGACCTTCGAGTACTGTGAGCGCCAGCCTGCCTTCAGGAGTTCAGCGTTCAGAGCTTGGGGGCTCTTCGGCCCGGGGGCACAATTCGAGCGTGCATTAAGTCGTAGTATCTTCTAGTATTGTACGTTGTACTGTACTGTATTTTGAAATATACAGTAGTATAGCCTATGATAGTATATTCCATGGTTTGGGGGCTTAGAGTTCAGACTTTTCGGACTTCGTTTCGTGTCACGGGCCGCTAAGGACCTCCACATACACGATGACGACTTCCACATGCTGGAGGAAGGGTGAGGGCTGCCATGAAGGTGGGTTCCTCTTCGGGTCAAGGGAATGCTTACTTAGAACAGGTCCTCTAAGGCCCTACTTAAACCGTAAGCCTAGCTTGGACACTTTCCCAGGTGTTCAACACTGGCTAGGTTTTCGGCCGCAGGAGCTATCTGACTTGTGACTTCGGACGCACTGGCTACGACAAGTACTCCCTGTGGCATGCTGCCAGAAGCAGTTCTGAACTTCTTACTTTGCAGGCCTCGAAAAGATTTGTGGCTGCAGCCTAAAATCCTTAAACCCCAAGCCCCAAAACGATTAAGCCCCAAACGCAAAATGAGCTCGAAGGCTCCGGGAGCCTAGAAAACGCGCCTGCCGCCAGGAGGTGGTGCAGCATCGTGTGCGGCAGGATGGGCACTTTCTCCGGAAGCATGCAGGGCCCCTACTTACCAATACGCTACTATTTTGGGTGTTTCTTATTATGAATATGGTCTACAGGGCCCCCAACACCCTATTCTAATCATTAAGTTTAAGGCCCCTATATTACACGGTTTCTTACCGCAAAGGGGCTTTCTGGGTCGGCCAGTCGAGCTGAGCGTTTGGGCCTCGAGGTTCGTTGCTTATTATGATTATAGTATAATGGCACCCAAAATCCTATTATCATTATTATTATTATTATTACTATTACTATTATTGTTGTTATTATTATTATTTTTATTACTATTATTGTCACATTACAGTAGTTCTTGTACTGTTAGTCCAGCGACTGCAGCGATTGTCAGGGGGTCGAAAGCCCAAACGCGGTGAATCGCATGCTCGTTTTCAGTGGTTTTATTACCATAGCTGCTATTATCCCATGGCTTTTACTGTTGTCGTGACTATCACTACTAATTACTATCCCGTACTACTCACTGCGCTACAACGTGAACCGGCTACTTTTACCTTCTGAGTTCAAGCGCAACTGCGGCAAGAGCTCTCATAGCTGTACTGATGATAATAACTACTGCTGCTGCTGCTACTACTACTACTACTACTACTACTACTACTACTACTACTACTACCACTACCACCACCACTACCACTCCCACTGCCACTGCCACTGCCACTACCACTCCACTACCACTCCCACTTACACTCCCACTGCCACTGCCACTGCCACCTCCATTGCCACTTAGCAAGTACTAGTATAACCATTTCAACCCCAAAGCTATACCTGAGGCCAACAACAGGCCCGGACCCCCGGAGGGCTGCACCTCGGTGTTTGTCGCTCTTCGGGAGGAGAAGAAAAGAATCCGACGGCTCCCAAGTACCCTTTAAAGAGTTTAAAGGGTTCCTTTAAGGGCTGTCGGTGTTCAGGGCCTCTTCGGGAAGGCAAGAGCATACAGGTAATACTGTTGAGTTTACAAGGCCGCGAGACCCTATTGAGTTCATAAGCTCTCGGTCTGGGATTCAGCACTGGGTGCATCTTTGGAAACTGAAGGCACAGAGCCAATTTTTGAAGGCGGCAGCTAGGCATAATAGGAGCTTCTGGATTGAGCAGGGGCCTCAGTGACTGCTTCCTGCACTTGTACAACTCCGCAGGACGATTGAATTCGTTTGTAGCATACAGCGAGTGCCACCTCGGTTTAAGTTATTGAGCATTCAGGCTCCTGCAGGCCCTTGTATTGACAATTGGAACAAGCATTGAAACGACCGATTCTAGAAGGCCTAAAGCCCGAGCTGAAGCAGAACCAAGTATAGGACTGAATCTGAGGTACATTTTGGCTTGTGTCTGATTCAATATGTGTGCACAGTAATCTTTGTTCTTGAACTGTGATGCCCCAAACCCTCACCGTTCGGAGTTTCGGTTTGGAAGAGCCAACCCCAGATTTATAAATACTACATGTCATGACGTCCCTGCTGCTTCAAGGTCTTGGCTGCTGCAGGCTAACGAGCAAAACTACTTGCTCATAGAGCTCAACTTGCGAGAGGACCACTCTTGGTCTGAGCTTGTAAGGGTTTAGGGTTCAGGCTAAGGGAAGCAGGGTGCAGGACTTTGGTCCCGGTTGTGCGAAACACGTCCAACGACTTTGGCACCAAAGCAGCAGAGTTACATCGCATCCCTGAACATACCCTACAAGTTGAACTGTCCAGAAGCATAAGCTCTAAACCCCAGCCCAAATCATCTGAGGTCTTTCACTGTCTTCATGCTTTGCCATAGTGTCTTACCGCAACTGCCGTTGTTGGAAAAACGGCCTCTGTGGTTTAACGTGCATTCCCTCACGAAGGGTTGGGCTCCCTGGATACAGAGACTTTCGGCCTCTCCGGCACGGCTCATCTTTCAGTTTCTAGGATGCCCAGTAGTACCCTTATTCCTTCTTGTAGTCCTAGATTCTTTATACAGTTACCCAATATCATAAAGGGAGCACTTTTTATTCCTAGGTTACTGGGCATCCTAGGTGTCGTGCCTGCTTGCAGGAGTTCTGGGATCCAGACCGCATCTGGCAAGTGCCGATCGAAGGACCGGCAAACCTCCTCATATGGGAGTTTCCGAAAATTAGGGGTACCTTATCTTGGGGTCCTTATAATAAGGATCCTACTATTTAGGGTACTATATTAGGGTCCCCTATTTTCGGACCAAGTAATTACCAAATTAGACCAGGTTTCCTTTAAAGGGTTCCTCAAACGTTGCTACAAGGGATAGTATAAGGCTTTAACAGCGGAGCCTGAGTGATTACCAATACTATTCTGGGGGATCCTTATTATGATTATAGTACACTATGCCCCAAAACCCTGTTCTAATTATTGAGACCCCTACAGTAGAGGCTTGAAAAGTATCAATATGATTCCTTCCGGTTCCATATTCTAGGTACAGCATATTAAAACCCCCGCCCACCCACACAAAAAAGACAACATATTCTAAGCAATCAAGGCCCCGTATTTATGGAGCTTCGTCGAACGACGGATCGCTGATGTGGGACTCCTTGTGGTTGGTTCCTATCGTTTAGGTTTATATCTTGGGGTCCTGTATTGAAAACGCTCATGGGAGTTTCCGAAAATTAGGGGTACCTCATTTTGGAGCCCTTATAATAAGGATCCTACAGCTTGGGGTACTATATTGGGGTCCCCCATTTTCGAAAACTTCCATATGAATTGGTGTTGAGACAAGCGATGTGTAGGGTTCGAGGAGATTGAGTTTTGAGTGTAGGGATGTGGCATTTGTATGCCGTCTTAAACTCTATCCCCAAACCCCCAACACACCTGAACCATAAGCCGTAGGTCGTCTGAGGCTCTCCTTGGGCCATTTTGGGACTTTGGGCTTTCCGACGACCTTCAAAAAATGTCGCTTCTTCGGGCCTGATGAGCAAAGCCAACCGCAAACCCTCCCAGCATGTATAGCCTCTTCTGCTGGCTCCGCAACTCTCCGCACGCATCCTTTTGGAAGGTGTTTTTCTCGAGTCCGGTCCGAAACTTTTTGCAGGCCTAAGGTGTCTTTGCTCGGATGGTAGTTTAGACGACTAAGTTTGAGGGTTCAGAGTTCGGTTTTGTAATGTTTTGTGGAGCCGCATGTCAATCACTGTGGAAGTTGGGCTGCTCAGCGGCAGGACTGCCACCGTTGAAGTTCGCTTCGACGAGCATGTCGAGACATTGAAAGTTCGAGCGCAGACCGCACTCGAAGTCGGAAAGGGGTGGCTGGTGGACTCGAGTGGCAGTGTTCTGGATGCATCTGCGCCAATCAGGGATTCAAGCTTGCAGGATGGCGACTCACTGACGTTGCACATAACTCGGGTTCGGATATGCGGCACTGCCAAGGCTTTAGCCACTGTTCTTGGCGATGGGTCTGTCGTGACCTGGGGCGATGCCCGGAGCGGCGGTGACAGCAGTGCTGTGCAGCATCGGTTGAAGAGGGTGCAGCAGATCCAAGCCTCCCGCTTCGCTTTTGCTGCCATTCTTGTCGATGGATCTGTCGTGACGTGGGGTTGGGAAAGCCTTGGCGGTGACAGCAGTGCTGTGCAGGATCAGCTGAAGAATGTGCAGCAAATCCAGGCGACTGCCTGTGCTTTTGCTGCCATTCTTGATGATGAATCCGTCGTGACCTGGGGACGCGCTGCTTCTGGCGGCGACAGCAGCGGTGTGCAGGACCAGCTGAGGAATGTGCAGCAGATCCAGGCCACCGCGTCTGCCTTTGCTGCCGTTCTTGGTGATGAACTTGTCGTGACTTGGGGTTATGCCGACCATGGTGGTGACAGTAGTTGTGTGCAGGACCAGTTGGTGAATGTGCAACAGATCCAGGCCACTCAACATGCTTTTGCTGCCATTCTTGGTACCGGCTCTGTCATAACGTGGGGGTCTGTTGGCGGTGGTGGTGACAGCAGTACCGTCCAAGATCAGCTGAAGAATGTCCAGCAGATCCAGGGCTCCAGGTACGCTTTTGCTGCCCTTCTTAGTGATGGGTCCGTCGTGACCTGGGGTAATTGGCCGAGTGGTGGTGACAGCAGTGTCGTGCGGGATCGGTTGAAGAATGTGCAGCAGATCCAAGCCAATTCGGGCGCTTTTGCGGCCATCCTTGGCGACGGATCCGTCGTCACTTGGGGTGATGCTCCGAGTGGTGGTGATAGTAGTGCTGTGCAAGATCAGCTGAAGAATGTGCAGCAGGTCCAAGCCGCTGGCAATGCTTTTGCTGCAATCCTTGGCGATGGATCGGTCGTCACCTGGGGTTATGCTCATGCTGGCGGTGACAGTAGTGTTGTGCAGGATCAGCTGAAGAACGTGCAGCAGATCCAAGCCTCCCATGGTGCTTTTGCCGCAATTCTTGGTGATGGATCGGTCCTGACTTGGGGTGATGATCGCGATGGTGGTGACAGCAGTAGTGTGCAGCATCAGCTGCGGAACGTGTAGCAGACCCAGGTTGTATTTCCAGTCCAGCCGAGGAGTTTCCGGGTGACGTCTTAACGCTTGTCGGCATCCTTCCTGGAGAATTGGGCCTTCTGTCATTACCTATACTGCTTTGGGGGTTCCTTATTATAATTATAGCATAATGGGGCCCCAAACCCTAGTCTAATTATTAAGTCCCCTATATTAAATGCATGCTGTGGTGCTTTATTCCATCATACTATATGACTGCATTCTGCAGTTTCACATGCTCCAAAGTCTTGGTTGGTATTTGGATTTCTTTCGGAAGACAACGGGCAAGAACCTTTATAGGAGCTGACAAAAGGGACAGGCAGTTTTTGCCTTAAGCATTCGGCACCTCCAGAAACCCTAAACTCGAAGCCCTGAGACCTAAACCCGTAAACCCCTGAGCCCTAAAGCCGTAAAGCCCGAAGCCCTAAAACCCTAATCCCTAATCCCTGATACATCCCTCATAGTACCCTTATGGGTGGCTGTCAAAATTATGGTCCCGTTTTGGGTTCTTACTATAATACGGCACCTAATATTTAGGGCCTTAGGGTACCCCAAAAAAGGACCATAATTTTGACAACTACCCTTATGGATCCCTTTAAACGAACCCACAGCGTTGGCGAGGAAGGCTCTTTCCGGCCATGGAGGAGTCACACCTGAACCTCTCGTCTTGGTGACCGAGGGCCTTGCACTCTTGAGGATTTAAGATTTAGGGAGTTTCCAAAAACTAGGGGCACCTTATTTTGGGGTCTTTACAGTAAGGATCCCACTATTTCGGGTACTATATCAGGGCCCCCTATTTTCGGAAACCCCCATTTAGTCATCGAGTTTAGGAGGTTTAGGCTCCTCAAAGGGTTTAGGGGCTTAGTGCTCCTATAAGGTTTTCATAAAGGTTCCACAAGGGTACCACAGGGTTTGGGGCTTAGGGCGTTCAGGGCTTTGGGCTTTAGGGGGTTCAGGGTTTGGGATCTGGGAGCTTGATGCTTCAAGGTGGTCTGGGGAGATCACGCTTGCTTGAGACTTAGCCGTGCGTAAAGCTCCTACCCAAACTAAGACTTTAGGCATCTAAAACTGCTGTGGTCTGGGTACGCGGTGGAATCTCAAGCTTTGAGGAAGGGTTCCTATACTATTTTGGGGCTTCCTTATTGTAGGTATAGTATACTGGGCGCCAAAACCCTATTCCAATTATCAAGGCGCCTCATTCTCCGACGAAGTATTCAGGCTTCCTCATCTTGAAGTTGGATATGGGAGTTTCCGAAAATAGGGGACCCCAATACAGTACCCAAAATACTAGGATCCTGATTATAAGGACCCCAGAATAAGGTACCCATAATTTTCGGGAAACTCCCATATCTTACACAGTCTGAAGCTTTTCCTGCATTTCGACACGAGCTTCGCTTCTGATCTTCGCTTCCGGCTCTATTTGAGAGTCTGTCCTGTGGGCCTAAATTAGAATGGGGCTTCGCAGGGATATTATACTAGAACTATGTATAATATGGAACCCCCAAAACCCTCTTCTGATTATTCAAGCCCCTAAAGTACCACCGAAAATCCCAGCTCCTTGGGATTCTGCTGCGAAAGCTCTCCGGAAGAATCGTTCTGAGCGGCTCGGCCTGTGCATTCCCGAGAATGACGGAACTCTTGGGAACCTTAGATCGACGGTAGTATATGGGAGTTTCCGAAAATGAGGAGTACCTTATTTTGGGGGTCCCTATAATAAGGATCCTACTATTTGGGGTCCTATATTTGGGTCCCCCATTTTCGGAAACTCCCATAGGGGCCCGTATAATTAGAACAGGGCTTGGGGGTATATTCTACTATGGGTATATAATGAGCCACACCGAAATAATGTAGGTAATTATTTGGGCCCCGATATTACCCTGTGGAAGTTTTATCATTGTTTCAATCTTCTTCCCAAGCTACTATCTCTGAACATGTTTGCGCGCTGCGACAGGTATGGCATGTCTTTCTTCCGGCACCGGCTGCGGCATGTGCCAGAGTGGGAGGAGGCAGAGGGGAAGCTCGTACTGGTTTGCTGTACAGTCTGTAGAGCCATACACAGCGAAATTGAAGATGCTACATCGTGCATTCTACTACAGAAGAGCAGGGCAATCCACTCCTGTCGCGCTGCAACATACACTAGTTTTCCGTGCTACAGTATTGGTACTACTTCAATAATTGTCAATTATCTTGGATTCCAGGCATTCAGGTTATGGATTTCTCTGACCGTCCCTAACTTACTTATGCATCAGTGATGTCCTGCTCGAAATCGTCTCCCAGCATGTAGTGCAGGACGAGAGGCCAATGTATTGCTCGACGTGGGCGTCTTATCATCGATGCCGAAGTGTAAATCCACCTGTGAGAAAATTGCCTGCCTAAGCCAAGGCCGTACCATTACAACTGCGTGGATGAATCGCAAGTCTTCAGCGGCAAAGACTGCCGTCGTGCTGGAGCGTGCTAGCTAGCTGTCGTAGAGCCATTGCAAGTGCGCCTACAAGAACAACTGTTGCTGAGACAGCACAGAGAAATAGACGCCATGTAGTGCAGTGACATGATGAGTATGGTTTCCATGGGAGTGGGTGTATGTCACATGCATGATGCATGCAATCACACACTGTAACATTGCCAAGAATGGCAACGGTGATGTTGTCAGTCATGCACCAGGCCTGAGCCTTCTCTTATCTGAGTGCCGAGCAGGCTGACAGTTATATACTTCTGATGGTTGGGGGAGCCTGAAAAGCAGCAGGAGGGCTAGAAGTAACATATGCAGCCCATGCAGATGCAGTTGGCTCCGTAGATCGTCTGACTTGCGTGATCAATCGGTCGCAAAAAAGTGCCGCTATTGCTGAGTTGTGCACGGCTCTGTTGCATCAAGAGCCCGTGTTTCTGCAGCCCAGTGTGAGACGATCCATGCCTCCTTGCTGCACCTTGTTAATGTAGAAGCATAGATACTTACCAACCATTATTCCTTATACGAGGCGCCTCGTTGTAAGTGTACTTTAAATCCTTAAAACTCGATGCTAATTTCTGTTGTTCTTATATTAAATGCCCCAGAATCCCTGCTAGTAACTCTTCTAGGAACCTTTTGAAAGAACCCTGTTCATATCTTAAGGCCCCTATATTCTAGAGCCCTTATAGTAACCCTTGTAGGACCCTTTTCAAGAACCCGATCAAGGAACCCTCTTCTAATTCTTAAGGCCCCTGCGTCACATCACCTGCCCATTTACAGGCACGTCCTGCTGACCGAGGCTTCGCCCAGCTGGGCTTTGCAAAGTTGGGTTAAGAATTTGAAGAGGGTTCCTTTATAGGGTTCTTGAAAAGGATCCTATAAGGGTTACTTTAAGGGCTCTATAATGAGTCGGAGGTGTGCACGAGAAGTACTTTCGAAAGGGTTTGTACTTTTGACGGCACTGTACGGCTACACTGACTGTTGACTTTGTGAACATGTTTGCCCAGGACTGCTCCAAGCTCCGGCGCACTTCACATACATATATTCGTATATGTATACATACATATGTGTATATATATATATATATATACACATGCATATAGATATATATATATATATATATATGTATAGGTTATGGCATATGTATATATATATATATATATATATATATATATATATATATATATATATCACATCGCATCATGGATGGATCCGAAAAAGGGGCTATGACACAAAACGGCACTTGTTCGATGAACCCAGTGCGCCAGGCAGTGCTGCAGCGAGGGGTGCTTCGGTACCGCCAGCTGATGAGGCCTCGTGGTCCAGGATCTGTCATCTCTCCAGCTTGGAGCAAGTTTAGGGCTTAACAAGATTGCGATGATTATTCCATAAGCCGCAATCAAGTGTTTTGTTCACCAAGCCCCAACCAGAAACCACGAAGCCAATAGCCCACAACCCACCCGATGCTCCCATTACCACAGTTTAAGCAGTACCCCGGTCGGTGCACCTGTGACAGCTGAAGTCGCCAGGTGTCGCTGCTAAGACAAGACCGGGATCCCGATCAGCCCTTCGCCAGGCTGCTTGTGCCAGCCTCAGGGCTCTCCATGTTTCCGGTCAGGACGCCACGGTTTAGGGTTTGGGGTTTAGGGTGAAATCAGGGGCCTGCATGATTGGAATAGAGCTCATTACGGGGTACATTTTGGTATATAGTCTGAGGGTTTTTGAGTAAAGGGTTGTGTAAGGTTGGGAGAGTACGTCGCAAGATCCAAAACCTCGGGGATCTTGATGGGTGGTCATGAAGTTGGGACTTTTCGAGGCTAGAACGACTCCGATCGTGTATCTACTACATAAAACGTACATACCTACGTCTATGCCTTTGTGCCTGTATCTATCTCTATATGTATATCTGCAACACATATCTGAATCACTACATCTGTACCGATATCTATGTCTTCTATATCTAAACAGATGTCCATATCTATGGCGACATCTACATCTGTGGTTGTACACATAGCTATTACTTCATGTATGCATGCATGCATGTAATGCAATGTAATGTCGTGCCAAGCCATGTAAGGAAATGTAATGCAATGTAGCGTAGTGTAATGTACTGAGTAGCGCATGCATGCATTCATGCATTTAGTATGTGTGTGCATATGTTTACACAGAGACATCACGAATACCTATGCATAAATATTTACAAAGACACACCACAACTAGTTGTTGTCTGCGACCAACCAACCGTTCATGGCATCCCCGGTGTAAGCTGAACAAAGTAGAGGGTTACGCTTTTGGGCGAACGAGTTGGAGAGGTTGAGGCTGCAACTTGCATCGTGGTGTTCAGGAAATGAGGGCGGGAGGGACGGAGGCAGGGGTTTTGGGTGAAATTCGGTGAAACGACCAGCTGTGGGGCGGGTGACAGCGTTCTTCCTAAACATATCAAGCACATCCATAAACCATCTATACCACAATAATGTCTCAAGCTTACCTGCTACAATATTCAATATTCAAGCACTCGAGGTACGATTGGATCAGGGCCTCCGGGTGGCCACTCAGCTGCATTCCGAAGTTCTCTTCCACATCTCTGATTTTTCAGTGTCAGACTTAGGGTTTCTGGGGTTCGAGATCGCCGTAGTCGCTTGGTCATAACACATGATTTTCTGGAGCGCTGGAGCAGTCGAGTCTGCAGTCAAAGTAGGGCTCGACGCAAAAGGGGCTCAATGCTGTTTAATCACAGCGAAGTAGTTAGATCATGCAATTTGCACAAACTCCTGGTCGAATTTCTCCGCTTCGGAGAATTATGAGTGTTTTGTTCTATCACTGGCTCATTTTTTATGTCATGACATTCTAGAACTCCATCAGATGGGGAACGGGGCAGGAGTTCAGTTAAATGGGAGATGGCTACGAGTTGACCTTCAGCTACGTTAAAAAAGCCATAAACCCTAACCTCTCTACTTGGAACGAGATAGAGAGCCGGCTGCTGCAGTCTGGTGACCATCGGAAAATTCGTGGATCATAGGGGGGAGTGGGGGAACTCTTAATCAGGGCCCATGCTTGCATCCGAAAAGAGCACCTCACTCTATTCAGAATCCTTGAAACAGAAATCGATCTAAACCCTAAACCCCTAAACCTCTAGACCTAAAAACCCTAAGAGGGCTAGCAAAACACCCAGGAAGCCTCTGGAAGAAGTTGAGCGTCGATCGAAAATTACAGGTACTCCCCCCTTGTGTTGTCCCGACACAGCCACGCCGTAGTCTACCCCAAAAAGACCTTCGACATTCCGAAGGTCTTGAAGTTAGAACCCTGGTAGTGGCCCTTCTTATAAGCCCTTTTCAAGAACTCTGTAAACAATCTGGTTCTAACTAATATAGGGGCCTTAATAGTCAGAATAGGGTTTTGGGACCCGTTGTATTATAAATATAACAAGGAGCCCACCAAAATAGTATGGGTAATTATTTAGGTCCCTATAATAGTCACGCCAATACGGTACAAAGAAGCTCTGGGGATCGAAACACCGAGGTCTGCTGCTTGGAGCTTCAGCAGCTCGTTGGCGATCTCGAGGTCCCTAAACCCTAAATCCTGAACCTCAAGAACCCGGACATTCCAATATCCATGAATTAAGGATTATGCTTTCAGTCATATCAGGAGTCGTACTATAACTTAAGAAGATATATCCATCAATTAAGGAATATACTGTACATCATGCTAGGGATCCTACTATAACATAAGGCATTGTAGATCTCGCAGTTGGGGGATCTTCGAAGGTCTGGGGAGGCCCGGACCTTGGGAGCCTTAATGCTTCCTGTAGGGGGCCTTAATCATTGGAGTACGGTTCTTTGAAGGGTTTTGTAGGGCTTACCATCGGGTCCCGCTCAGTTTAGGGACCTGAAAGATAAGAATAAAGTTTAGAAGCGCGTTATGTAACTTATGGCATATTACGTTTCCCACGTAAAGGACCTGCAAAAGAAGAGGATCTCGGGTTTTTTTGTCAGGGATGGCTGTCGAGGGCCAGGCTCGGGAAGCCTCGATCCGGGTCCCTGCAGAGGGCATCGGTGATGTCACGAACATTTTAGGTTTCAGGCGGTGAGGATTCCTGGGTTGGGAATAAGAAACCCGGTCTCTCTGGGGTTCCCTAAACCCTCAAACCTGAATCCTGAAACCACAGACGGATGCAGCTGGAAGTGACGCAGGTGGAAGAAGGGTCCTTACGATGCAACAGGAAAGACCTTCGTCCTAAACCCTCCTAGACTTCGAACATCCTTAATCCTAAACCCTCGAGGCCCTAGAAGCCCTAATCCTAAACGACCTTGTCTTGTTACTTCCGTCTGGTAGCAGGGAATGGGGGAATCCCTATGATGGTCCCTGAAGGTCCCCTAGAGCAGTCCCTAGAAACCATTACCCCTTTCCCTGCCAGACAGTTTTCCCTAAACCCTAAACCCTCTTGAATGGGATGCTGCAAACTGTCGCCCCCCTGGAAAAAGGAGTTAAAAAAGCCTCTTGACTGGAAGGATGCCGTGGATCGATGGTGCACGGAGCAGAGCTTACCCGGCTTAAAAGGCTGCCATTTGAGGAGACGTCAGAGGGTTCAGGGTTTAGGATTTAGGGTCCGGCGGTGTTCAGCGCTCAGGGTTGAGAGTTTAAATTCGGGTTCAGGGTTTCGAGTCAAAGGTTTAGGGTTCAGGGTTAGCCTGGATGCGACACATGTGGCAGGACAGCATTTCCTCCGCGGACGTATGCCGACCGAGACCAGGCTGTTTGCGAACTGCTGACATGTTTAGTCATGCTTTGCGTTTCCAAGCTGTTGGGATAAGCATTGCTGGCTGTGCCAGGATGCTGGACTAGCTCCGAGTGCTACCCTTTTTGTGGCCTCTGAGCAAAGTTGAATAGCTGGCGCTTGTTTTTTGGGACTTGAAGCTAAGCAGCTGGGCCCGTAAGCAATTCGTGCTCGGCCTAGAAGCCATTGGACAAACCTTTAGTGAGTTAAGTGTTCCAATTTCCAAGTTCATCCGGAT